CTTTCCCTGGAGAGAAAACATCTGGATTATATAGAGCTAGGATTTAAGTTTAGCCAAAATTTATTTTGCACAAAGGTATCTAATATAAGGGACAAACAACTAAAGGAGATAATCAAAGTAAGAGACATAGCTGTAGGATAATCTGTGAGAAAAGGATAGAGGTAAGTACCAGCTATCGCGGTTCCCGTTGGCCACAGATCAACATTCCTGGCCAATGGAGTGGCAGGAAGCACCATGGACAGGGACACCACTTCCCGCAGCTCCCATTGGTGGGAACGGTGATCTGTGGCCAATGGGAGCTGTGATCACCAGTACCTGTGGCAGTTCAGGTAAATATAGTGATATATTTATAAATATAGCGGAGTCCACCAGGAGCTAATCCTGGTGGACTGGATCCAGCCTGTGGGCTAGTATTTGCCCACCCCTGCTGTAAAAAGAAAGTCTGATCATTCAAAGCAGCTACCTCAAAGGAACTAGAGGTTGGGGAAATAGAAGGAATCACTTGCAGATTTGGGGGGAGACATGCCCCTTTGCCACGGCTCATGCGCAGGGCTTTTTGAAGTGTGGGGCCCGGGGCGGCCGCCCCGTTCGCCCTGCCCTATATCCGCCCCTGCCTACAAGGATATATGTCAGTGAGGGAGGGAGGAAGCCCAGAAGGCTAAGCAGACAATCACTAATGGCATACAGAAAGGAATTATGGCCCTGTAAAGCAGGGGTGGGCAATAACACAGTAGCAATTCACTGGCGGGTCCCCACTGCTATATTTACCTGCATGGCCGTAAGTACCAGCTATCGCGGTTCCCGTTGGCCACAGATCAACATTCCTGGCCAATGGAGTGGCAGGAAGCACCATGGACAGGGACACCACTTCCCGCAGCTCCCATTGGTGGGAACGGTGATCTGTGGCCAATGGGAGCTGTGATCACCAGTACCTGTGGCAGTTCAGGTAAATATAGTGATATATTTATAAATATAGCGGAGTCCACCAGGAGCTAACCCTGGTGGACTGGATCCCCTAAGGATACAGCTAAATTTCTCTATTTAAATCAGTCTGGTCCTGCCCAGCATGCTACATCAGTTACATCCTCATGCTCCGTTCACTGGAGTAAATATCCCATTGAACATTGCTGTTAGGAAACAGTTTCCAACAGCAATGAAAGGGTTAACTCACACAGAGAAGAGAGCACGACTGTGAACTTTGTCCAAGAGCCAACTCTGACTTGTTTCACCAGACCTCAACTCATTTAACTGGGGATCCTCCTGGGAGCCAAAGACAATGTGACTTGCTGCATTTGAGCATTTATCATAGATCTTTGGCCCCACATTGCTCTGTGGTATGAACAAGAGTGAATTTTAAATGTGCCTTTCCTTCCTGCTCTTCTTCTCAACTTCTAGGAGCCGGATGCAGGCTATGGGGAGATACTCCTCTCCATCAGCTATCTGCCAGCAGCAAACCGCCTGCTTGTGGTGCTCATAAAAGCCAAGAACCTCCATTCCAAGCAGCTGAAAGATCTCCTGGGGAAAGGTGAGTGGGGAACAGCAACAGGGGGACTGGGCAAATTTCTTTAGGACCCAATGGAATTAGGGTGGTCTGATTTACTGTGATTCTGCAGAGTCAGAATCTAATCTTATGCCCCTCATTCCCGTATCTAGACATCTGGCACATCAGCAAGGTAGTCATATTTGTCATCCTAGGTACATAGCACATAAGCACCTGCCTGCTCATAGTGTGTCATTCGATCACCATTAATGGTCTAATTACAGCTAGAAACCAATGATGGCAAAGGCTGCATTCTGTGCGGTGCTTTCAGGACAGGCAGGGACAGGGTGGAGCAAAGAGGCTTCTGAAAAACCAGTAGCCCTGCCCCAGTGGTAAAAGTAACTTACAATTTCTTACAGGTACTGTTCTATTGCAACCCAAGTCCCTGCCAGCTCTATAAATAGCTCCTTACTGGCTTGTGCCGCATCTCAGCCAGCTCTTGCTGGTGCTGCGCACCAGGGCGCACCTGCTTACTTTCCCCTCTAGCTGCTATAATATTGCAAAGTACCACTCAGCACTTTCAAACGTGCTGCGCACCAGGGCGCACCTGCTTACTTTCCCCTCTAGCTGTTATAATATTGCTAAAGTACCACTCAGCACTTTCAAATTGCTTGGCCACACTCTCTTGTGAAAGGGGGAGTTCTACTGGTGCATAATGATCCTTTCTTGCCCCTAACCCATCTGACAGCCTTTAAGGAGGAGGGTAGAGAAAGCGAGTCTTCTAAGACTTCCCTCTAATCTGCAGCCCTATGTTAACTCACCCTGCTTCATTCTCTGCACTGCAGAACTTCCTACCACATCCCCTTATGGCAGTGGTGGGCAATAATTTTTGATTGGGGGGCACTCCAAGTACTTGGTAAGTGATCAAGGGCCTCATTCTTCCATGATATTAATGGAGGTGGTGTGGGGTCTGGTATGGAGGTTGGGTGCAGAAGGGAGCTTGGGGTAAGTGATTGGGGTGCAGGAGGGCATGGGGGGTCTGGGAGGGACTTTGGCTGAAGTAGGGGGTTGTGACCAGGGGCAGGAGTCTGGGGTGCAGGCGGGGGTGCAAGGTCTGGGAGGGGATTGTGACCTGGGGCCAGAGGGGGTGTAGGGATTTGGGTTGTGACCAGGGATAGGAGGTTGGGGTGCTAAGTGTGGAAAGGGTTGTCCCCTGGGGCAGGAGGGCAGGCAGGGGGGCAGGGTCTAGGAGGGGGTATTGCAGGAGCAGGGGTGCAGAGCAGTGTTCCCTCTAAGCTGCAGAGCAGCACAGGAGGTTAATCAGCCCCGAGCCTCTGCCTGGGCAAGGCTGATTAATCTCCTGTGAAGCTGTACTGCTGCTCAGCTTAGAGGGAATGCTGGTGCAGAGGGTTTGGGTTAGGTGAGGTAGGGAAGCAGTGTGGGGGAGCAGTGGGTTGGGAGGTGAGAGGGGCTGGCAGACTGTGGCTGGGAGGAGCTCTCCTGGGTGACTCCTGGCCAGCAGCCCTACCCAGAATGTTCCTCTGCTCAGAGAAGCTGGAGAGAGCTATGTGCTGCTCTGAATGTTGTGAGCCAGTGGGACGAGGGAGGGGTTTGCATGCTGCCTGTCCTGTAAACAGGCAGCTAGCATTGGCTGGAAACTGGCCAATAGGAGCTGCGAGATCATGCTGGAGGTGAAGGCAGAGTATGAAGCCTTTCCTCTCCTCCCCCGCCAGGCTTGCAGCGCTCACAGAAATAGATGGCCATAGCAGAGGGCTTCTCTGAGCAGTGTGTGGGAGTGGGGCATGTACGGAAACTGCTGTGCCCAGAGGCCAGATCCTGCAGCTTGGCAGGCTGGATTCAGCAGTCTGGCAGGCCGTATTTTTTCTGCCCCACCTTATGGGGAACACTGAAGAGTCTTTAGAAGTATGTGTTTGTAGGACCTGTACAGCCAGGTTGTAGCAGGGAGGCAAAGGCCATCACTGAATATTTCTTTTTTCCAATGATCTCATTGGATCCATAGGCCGAGGAAGGAATCCATAGAATTCTTCCAGTACAGAATGAGCTATGTCTACTCTGGCAAATGAATTCCTGTTAGAATTCAGCAGTTTCCTCTTCCCTTTGCAGGTTATTTCTATTTAGGGAAATGGGACCCATTGCTTTTGTAGATGCAATACTGGATAGAAACCCCAAACATTGGTGGGGTTCAAAATCCAGCCCCAGATCTGTGTCACAAACTCTCTCTCTCTCGCCTTCAGTTCTGTCCCAGAGTACACAAAATCCTTGCATGCAAACTTCCCTGAGCTCCAAGGGAATGTTTTTGATCCAGATGCTGATCTCAGTCTGAACATGCTATTGCATCTGTTATTGTCTAACATCTGCCTGTGCAGCTTAGACTTTAAAAACAGGGTTAAAAAGCCAACAAAAAAATTAAAACAACTTTTAAGAAGAGAAAAAACAAATACAAGTTGCTCAAATGCTTTTCCTTTGGTCCGTCATCATTAGTTCAGATTCTCTTTTAATGACTGTCTGCCCGTCCTCTGCTCATCTCTGTGGTGTCTTTCTTTTCATCATTCCCATGCAGATGTATCTGTCAAAGTGACCCTGAAGCACCAGTCTCTGAAACTGAAGAAGAAACAGACCAAGCGTGCAAAACACAAGATCAACCCAGTCTGGAATGAGATGATCATGTTTGAAGTACCCCATGAGCTGCTACGCGCGTCCAGTGTGGAGCTAGAAATGCTAAGCCAAGATGGCCTCGGGCAGAGCCAATCACTGGGCAAGTGCAGCCTAGGTCTGCATGCCACAGGTACAGAGAGGAACCACTGGGAGGAGATGCTGAGGAACCCCCGGAGGCAGATAGCCATGTGGCACCAACTTCATATGTAGCCATGCAATCACTATCATGACCAGTCAACTGCCTTTCATAATGGGAAGTCTTGGAGACAGGAGGAGTAAGCCAAGTTCTATTTCACCTTGCTGGAACATGAACCACATCCATCCATAAAATGATCAGTCACAACACCCCTTTATGGGCACTGCCTTTTTTGGGTTTCCTGCCACACGAATTCACTTAAGCTAGACCAGGCAAAGTCCTGGCACATTCATTGTAGGGGAGAGTTCCAGAACTCTCTCCTAGGGATGGAATGCATCTCCCCACCAGACCTCTAACTTCTACAAGGACAAGACTCTGACTCTGAAAAGCCACTGATGAAAATAAATAGGGACTGTCAGGCCACGGTAGGGGTTATATTGAAACGGGAGCTGGAAAAGGAAAAAATGGGAGCATTCTTTTATTTATAGATTTTTGATGGAGAAAGAAAGTCTAATTTTTAGTTAGCTTATTTTTTATTTTATATGTTCAGGAAATATCTGCCCTGCTTTCATTGGAAGACTCTGTGGACGACTGGAGAGCTAGCAGGTATACAGCATACTATAGAAGGGAAACCTGATTAAGTAAGAGGGAAAGTGAGTTTTATTCACAGTGTTCAAATCTGCTTTTTGCCTTTTTATTAATTTTGTTTAAATCAAGCCCTTGACAAACAGTTTAGAAGAAAGACTCTCTTTGTTAAAGATTTCGCACCTCTAGTAATAGCGGAGAAATCTCCCAGTGTTTCTAGCTCTGTTACAGAGACCGCCAGCAAAACAGGGAAGCACAGATTGACATTGCTAAGGTTAAGATGTAGAAGGATTTTTCTATTAATACAAAGTTGGGGATGGAGAAGGGCACAATTACTCTTTTGTTCATTTTTGCTCCCGTGGGTATTTTTTCAGAATCATGGGATTTCTGAGCTCCTTTTGGGAGTGTAGAGTTCAGCCTCAAAACTCAGGCCTTCAGCCATCTCAGATTGTGGCAGCCTAGCTTTTCTAGTGGAAGCAACTGAGCTAGCTACAGGTTTGACCTCACAGAATTAGAGATGTTAACACACACACTATCGTGTATAGAACTAAAATCTGTCCCTCGTCCTGTGGTAAAGACATCCCCAAGTAACAGAAGTAGTGTCCAACCTCAGTGCCAGGTTCCTGACATGACAACAAAAATTGGGGGCGGGGGGAGTCGCTGCAATAGCAAACTGGCCATGTCCATTTTGCCAATCAATGTTTTCCATATTGCTTTATGTGAGTGTAAGGAACAAAGAGTTCAAAAATGAAATCAATGAAATAAAAAATAAACCTCCTGAGATCAACGAAAAGAAGCTATACAAGAGAGAAGCTTGATAAAGGTAAAATGAAACAGAAGTGGAAAAAGAGACTAGAGGGACACAAAAAAACAGAGCAAGAAATTGGGAGAGAGAAAAGCAAAGAAGCAGAGTTATTTTCTGGAGACTTTACTGTACATATCCAGCCTTTGAAGTGAGCACTGCCAAACCCTGTGTCTAGATTTCTTCCTGTTCTTTCGTTGCTGGAGTCTTTGATATCTTGGATTTAGCGTTGCTAAAAGCCATTGAAAAGATGAAAGCTTCTAAATCCCTTATCCAATATATATATGTGCAAAGTGGTGTATTCCTCTTTCTCCCACTGCTCCTGGGGGAGCTCTCTTCACTGTCTCTCACATGCAGAGCATTGACACGATGGGAAAAAAATGACAGATAATGTTCCATCTGGTTATTGCCAATGACTTCCCACAAATCCTTCCACTTACTGCCATCCTTTCTGCTTAGAAATAGACTGATTTTGGAAGGGATCATATTCCAAGAAGCAGATGTGACTGAGTAAATTAGATGGGAATGTTTCACCAACAGTTTGGATTCGATGCTGAGGTGCTATACTGAAATCTTACTTACCAGCATTGCTTAGACGAGTAGCCCAGAAGGCTGCCAGGTACTACACCACCACAGGACTGATGACTTTGTCTTCACTGTCCCACTAACTCACCATCATCTACTATTTTCACTTGTGCTTTGGAACTTTGGCCTGGCTTAAGTGTAATTTATTTACTCTCTTTTCCGTGTCTTGAGATACAGGAGGAGTATCATCAGTGGCTATTTCTATGTCCCTATGAGCTTGTCCCTTGTCTTACAACATTCCATGGCAAACAATGGACTCGCCTTTAAGAGACATGCTTGGGGACCAAGCATTCAAGGGCTGCATATATAATCATGCCACCTATAGTTCTGGACTTCTAAAGAGTAGGACACAGGAGACAAAAATTACAGTGCTTCCTATTTAATTCTAGCAATGATGAAATTGATCCATCATTTCATGTGAATAAATCTATGAAAGCCAAAGTATTTGTAGTATCAATTACCCAATCTCCACCAAATCTAATAAGATTTAATCACTTTAACCTGGTATTACTCAATCCATTCCCTTGCCTCTGGAAGATTGCTGCTTAATTAATACACAAAAGCCAATTTTTTTTGAAAGAGATAGAGGAAGAATGCACATAAGACTCAGAGATGATAAAAGATGGACTACAGCTAAAAGTTATTATCCACCCTGTTGTTCATTGCAGTTTACATGGCCCAATGCCTATATCAACAGCAGTGTAAGACTTATCTGTATAAGAAGATCAAACAGTTATTGAATAATAGGTATAGACTTGATTGTAATAAGAGGCTGCATGTTGGTGAATCTTAATTCATCCATCTTTGCCTCTCTACTTTAAATTGCTTTTTAGTTATATTATTAATATATCATGAATTAACTGAATATAATATTAACTTATAGTAATAATAAAGCTAAAGAATCTTTCAGGATGTTTGAGTCCAACCTCTTGCTGCATCCATAATTTGGCTTTAGCCTTACTATAGATCTAGACCTTTTTTGTTTTAACTGTGCAAACTCATTTTAACGTTGAGTCTCCTCTGAGTGCTACTAATCTACAACATGTTATTTCTTGATGGTGATGTTATGATAATTGGCTGGCATTGGAGATCCCAAATGGCCAGTTACTGCTATGACCAGAAAACCAGAGCATTAAGTTACTGATCACAACTCAGGAATGTGAATTCAACTAGTTGTTATGCTCCATGATAGTGCAGAAAGAAGTAAAATTTTGAAAATGGTAGGACAGCAGAAAAGGCAAGACAGCTTCATTGGAAATGCAGCTCCCTAATTGCATATGAACCATTTTCATTATGTATCCCATCTGTGGATTTTTTTCACGAAAAGGGTATTGGGACTACAGCACCTGACAAAAGACTAGTAGGTAAAAAGACAGTTATTCTCTTACAATTTGTACTGTGATTGTAGGGTGCTGTATCCTAGCTGTGTGGATAGTCCTGTTCGCAGAGTTAGCACTGAATCAATGTACCAGCATGGTAGTAAGGGAGGATAGTTGTAAAACATTGTTGATTATTAAAGAGATAACCTGAAGACCTAAAAGGCCTGAATTCAAGTTTTCTTGATGTTTGCCTGGGATTCAGGTCTGAGATTCCAAGCTGAGTTCTCCTTTTATAATTAAACAATACACAGAAAATTCAGTTATCTTACAATTGCAAACAGCAATATTTGATCCCTGAACTGCATACTGGACTCACCTCCATTCCACAATATTAGGAGTCATTGAGTCTCCATTATGTACCGTGTAGTGCTAGTTGTTCATTGTTATTCACCAGCAAATGCATGATTTGTATGTGATTCAATAAAGAGGTGGAAAATAGGGTACAGGCCACATCAGTAATGGAGGCTAGAGTTCAACACAATGGCATTTAAGAGCACTATGACAAATTTACCAAAGGCACTGAACTGAATGTGCGTTTGGCCTCATTCCTTGCACTTTTGCAAAGGTCATCTTAAGTCTGATTAGATCTAACTAGAGAGATGGGATGGAACATGTTACATGTAAAGTTTAGCTCAATCACAACTGAATTTTGTTCTCTTAAAAAAGTTAACACAGTGATGAGCTATAGGAAATAAAACTTAGCATTAAAATAGTTTCTCACTGATGAATCTCAAAAGAATAGTGATCAGCAAAGAAAAATAGTGCTATATGGCTTTCCAACATGAATGGCCAAGCTTTCCTAGTTCTCAGCCCCTTTTATTGATGTCTTTATTGTACAGAACCAGCTTTTGATGGTCTACATTGTACTCACAGTTCAAAGCACAAAAAGAAAGCATGAGACCCGTCAGTCATGTGTCTGATGTTACAGCACAAATGTGAATCTTTAGTAGTAAATAAACAATTCCAAACTGTGAACATTGTGTCTGTTTTAATTGTGGTTGGATAAGTCCCTTATGCTAGTGGTTCCCAACCTTTGTGATACCAGGGATTGGCAAACCTATTCAAAAAGTTTTGGCGGACTGGTAACATTTTTATTCGCATATTTGTGTGTTCATTACGCAAATAATGAATATGCAAATATGGAAATAAAATGATACTGGTCCACCAAAAGCCCCGGCCTCCAGAGTCCCCTACTGATAACCTTAACCCCTAGATCCCCCCTTCAACACACCCCAGCACCAGCCACTGACCTTAGAGTCCCCTGCACCCAATCCCCCTAGTGTCAGTCTCCCACCCTCAGAGGCCCCCAGTGCCAGCCCCCCACCCCTTAAAGCCCCCCACCACCAGACCCCCAGTGTCAGACTCCTGTTTCCAGAGCCCCACTGCACCCAATACCCCTGAGCCTCCCCCCAGTCCCAGGCCCCAATGTTAAACCCATCCCAGAACCCCCAATGCCAGCCCTGCCACTCCACTACTAGCCCTACACCCAGAGCTCCGCAGCACTAGCTCCACATCTGGAGCCCCCAATGCCTGCCTCACCCCCGTCCCCTAGCCCTGCATTGCCTTCCAGCTGCCAGCTGAATGCTGCTGCCCAGGGTGCAGCTGCTCTAAGGCTGCCCTCCCGTCATGCAGTGACATGCTCTTCTGCGTCTGAAAAGAAACTCTGCCCCTGCCCTGACAGATTTGGTGACAGCCCAGCCCCCGACACATGCACGGGCTCAATGGTGCCTGCAGCACACGTGACGGCAGGACCAGCCCATAACATTTTGACACCTGAGGCAGAGAGCTCAAATGACGCCCCCATGCCTCCTCGCTTGGGTCAAATCTTTGGAAGGTCTCAATTCTGCCTTCTTCCTGTTCTACTCCTCTCATGATACTGCTCTGCTACCCACATATGCACCAACAGCAGACACAATTTTCTACACTCTGGGTCCTAGTGGTGCCCACCCCCTCCCAGTTTGGCACCTGAGGCAGTCGCTTCAGTTCGCCTCATGGTAAGGCCAGCCCTGAGTGACGGGGTGGGTGCACATTTGTGGTGGCTCAAGAGTTCCTCCCCAGGCTGTTAACAGTTGGGGCCTAGAGGCTCAGGGTCACTGAGCCCGTGTGCATCTCAGGCTCATGGCACCCACCCGACATCCGGGCAGCACTAGTGCCCCCAATACCTGCTGGTTTGAGTCAGGGAGCCTGGCTGCCCCTGCACAAGTCCGACCGGCGCTGCCAGCGCCCTGGGATGTTGGGAAGTGGCCAAACATGTGGTGCAGGCTAAGCAGGGGAGACCCTGCGGGGGGAAGCTGGGCCCTGCTGGAGGAAGGGCAGAAATCACAGACAGCCAATGCAGCTCCCTGGGGCCTCTAACCTGATCCACAGCAATACTGATAAAGGTCAGGATGCTCATGGCCTCAAAGGCTCCACTCCCTGGTCCGGACCATGCCGCCCACAATGGAAGGACATGGAGCAGCCACCCACCATACAGCACCACCAGCTGGGCTGCGTGGCTGCTGCCAGAGCTGGATCCAGGGGCCATGGTGAGGCTGCCTCAGCAGGGATAACTTCACCACAGCCCAGCTCCAGCCATGACACCTGGGGCTACTCACAGTGCCACTTACTGTAGGAGGGTGGGAGAATTTTTAGTGAGTGCGCAGGTATGCACCTTACAGGGAATGGAGCTCCCCAGAGGGTGGGCTCATTAGCAGCTGGGGGCATGGCTTGGCAGAGTGCCACAGCCCGGCAGGCAGGAGTTTGTGGCCTGACACCAGTCTGCAGACCGGTGGTTGGAAACTGCTGCCTTATGCTTCTAACTTGCAAAGCATATTTAAGATTTTTTTTTAGTGAGTCAGTGAAGAGTTTTTGAGCCATACTATTGAGTACAGAGATGGTATACAGTTATGCTGTGGTATGAGGCAAGAGTGTGATCCTGAAGTCTGCCAAACACAGGAAAGTTCCTGTCTTGCTTTTCTGTAAGAATATGTAAAAGCAGTGCTGGGGAGACTTTTGTTAAGCTGTAATGATAAGACCAGTCATACTGGAGCACACCAATGGTCTATCTAACTCAGTCTCCTGTTTTCTAAAAGTAGCCAGGGACAATTGCTTCAGAGGGTAGAACAAGGATTTATTGTATAATCCATCCAGTCATAACTTCTGGCAGTCAGATGTTTAGGCACAGTCAGAGCTTGGGGTTGCAATCCTGACGATTTTAGTTAATAAGTATTGGTGGACCTATCCTCCATAAATTTATCTATTTTTTTTTAAACTTATTTATATTTTTGGTCTTTACAGCATCCCCTGGCAAGGAGTTCCACTGGTTGACTGTGTGAAGAAGTACTTTCTTAAGTATTGCTGCCTATTAGTTTCATTGGATTATGTGAAGGGGAGCTGCATTTCCAATGTAGTATCTTTTTTCTTCAAGAACAGCTAATAGTGGTGTGGATTTGAGGTTCTAGTTTGGGCCTGTTCCCAGTTTTATTTCCTTCAGTGCTGGCTTCTTTGTGAACATTAGCACATCAGTGAGCTACCAAGTTCATTAGAGCACAGGAGGTGTCCTTTGTGTATCAGTGGGGGAGAGCAGAAACAAGAAAGATGGGAAACAAAAGGATGGGAGACAGACACAGGAGACTGAATTCTGAAGCATCCACTTTAAAATGGGTGTTCAAGGCTATAACTAGTATAAGTTGTCCCAGCTGGAGAGGAGCCAAGGAAATAGTGTTGAGGGAGGCAGTACAGCTTAACAGTAGAAACA